CTTCCGCTAACTCACAACTGCGCTCGCTTCCTGCTACACCCCTTTGCTCGGCACGACCCTTATTACCGTGTCGCAGCTCGGTTAACACGAGCGGGTTAATGAACAGCCCGGGCAAATATAGAATTTCTCATAAAAACTACAAATTACTGTTGCCGCGGGTGCGTAGCGGGAGCGACGGACGGTCGGCCGGCTACGTTTTTTCACTCGCGAAATTATACAACGCGGTATAATACCGTAGGAATAATAAAATTGCTCGCGGAGAATGAGAAAGAGAGCACTTTGAAGATCGCGCGCGGGCCGCCGTGATTTCCCGAAAAGGTAGTTTTGCGACGGATAATACGATGGATGAAAAAATCTATCGCGAGAGAACCGCGGGCGCAGACCGGAACGGAGCGCGGTCGGGATGGTAAAAAAAAAAAAAAAAAAAAAAAAAAAAAAAAAAAAAAATAAAAAGTTGCGGGTTTCCGAATGCGGAGAACTCGTTAATTGGAAAGGAAAAGTTGCAGACGAAACGCGCCGGTCCGACAATCGCGATTGTGTGCGGGGGCCGACGGTCAAACACGCGTATATAGACGAAAAAGACAGCCGGTTTAATTATATTCGAATGACCAAACTTCTCGAGACTCTTGCGGAGAAAGAGTGCGAGATATATCTACGTATATATGTAAGGTATATAATTCACGATTCGTCACAAATTTGCTCGCCGCTAATAATCCAACGTACACACACACACACACACACACAGATACATGTGCGTACACACAGACACGCTCGTGGTTCCGCGAACGGCGCTCGCATTATATTATTACACTCGTGCTGCTGTTTGTCAGCTTAAAACCGGGAGCCATTAGCAGGTATTATTTTAGCCGTGATCCACTGTTAACGGGAACAATGGCGTCGGTACGCCCGACGTCCCACGATATTAAATGAAGCGAAGTGATACATTTCGAAGGGGGATACGGACGAGCAAATAGGGACGACGGCGCGTTGCGTTGAGGAGCGGGGGTTGAGAAGGGGAAAGGAGGAGTAGAGATGAGGGTAGAGATAGAGAAAAGCCGGGTCTCTCGAAGCGGAGCGAGAGACAATCGGGACGGAGGGTGGGCTTCTCTCTGAGAGGGGTAGCGGGGGTGTAAGACGCGGGGTGCTCGTCGCGTATTACGTTACGCCTCTGGCCTGTGTAAATACCGCAGCGCTGTAATCTAGAGTTAATGGTGCTCCAGTGACGCGAGTATCT